GTTTTTTTTTTTTTTTTTTTTTTTTTTTTTTTTCCTTTTTTCCTTTTTTTTTTTTTTTTGGGTCTGTCTGGGTGGTTGCCAGGGGCGTATGTTAAAGTTCAGGTTTTTTTTCCAGCACCACGTGGGACCCCCCTTCCCTTACGCCCCGTTGATATTCACCCAGGTGGTGGAGTCGTTGTTTTTGTTTCCCATCAGGTAAAGACAAAACCCAAGAGAGAGGGTTGCGGCCCGGCCCAAAGGAGGAAAAAATTCCTCCGCATAAAAAAGAGGGGGGGGGGGGGGAGTGTACTCATAGTCGTGCATGCCGTAGTAGTTAGACCATTGACCACGCATCCCTGCAAAAGTCGGGACGGAGCACGCCGGGTTCTCACCGGACCAGGCTCTCACATCATCAAGCGCGTGATGGGGGGGGGCATACACGCGAATGATATGCTGTCCTTCCCTGGGTATTTACGCGGCAGTGTACCGAAGATCCTCCTGGATGCTGTACCTCAGAACGAAGTGCGAGAAAAATTTCACCACCGGCAGAGGAAGCTATACCGAAGCATCGCAAGCATCAAAACGATTGCCATGTGTATCGTATGATATTGTCTATCGTCTCCTTCCTCCCATGTCGTTGGCGCTTTCTCGGTCTAGGAGCTTACTGACTGCTTCTAATGAGCGGCAGCAAATAAATACTAAAGGCACCACACTACATACGCAGCGCAAAGATCCTCCAGCGCATTTGCGTCGTAGTTTACCCGCTCTTGCTTATTATTGTTGTCGTCGCTGTTGGTTTGTTTGTTCGTTCGTTGTCGTCTGCCGTCAAAGGTGGGGATCCTGTTCTTCCTGTTCGAGTTCTTCTCCGACCAGCTGCTGGCCTTCATGGTCCTCTCGGTCGTGTGGCTGTGCGAGGTCTACTCCGTCGTCAGCGTACGGACCGCGGTGTGCATACGCTTCTTCCCCCAGGTCAGCTAGGCCCACGTCTTTTTGTTTGGCGGTTGTTTGGCGCGTCTGCCTGATTTCCCGACCTTGCGACTACCGTACCCCCCCTACCCCGAACCACGCCCCCCCCCCCCGATCTCCCGGAATGCATACGGTCTGCCTGATTTCTCGACCTTGCGACTACTGTACCCCCCATCCCGCGAATCATGGGGGACGCCTGGAGGGTACAGCAGATGTACTGCTCCAACCCCCGACAAAGACCAAGAATCGCGAGGGTTCGGGGCGGCGGGGGGTGGGGGGGGTACCGGTACATACCTGCATGCACTTCGGGAGCCCCCTCGCCCAAACCAAGCGGGAGAGGTGTAGCCAATCGTCCGTGAAAAGTATCGATATTCCTTCATTTTCTTTCTTGCAGACTTGGCTGTGTCAAGGGGGCGAACTGTACCGTAGGTAGCAAATTTCAATCTGGCAGGCCCGCTCTCTCTTGTTGTTTCCCATGCTTACCCCCCTCCCCCCCCCCTTAGCGGCTGTGTCAAAGAGTACCAAACGGAGTCAACATACTGTAGTCTAGCCTACAAGGAGGACTCAGCTCTCCGACTAGACTATGCCACGAGAGAGTTACACCGCCACACGCACAGGACTCCCCGATTGCGAGTAAA